ATTAAAGGTAGTGTTGGGTTCCAGGAATGTGTAAGAAAAATCTTAACCCTATCCGTATGCCCTGGGGTCATTTTATACTCCCGGGGGTGTATTCTTCACATTTTAGAATACTTCTTGTACGAAGATCTCTTTGAAACTTTCAGTTTCTCAAAAAATCATTTTGACAGACTGCTATGCAAGGCGTACGGATCGGATTAAAGAGTAAATTTTCTCTTTGGAAAGTGGTGACACTGAGTTCCCCATGTGGTTTGGGTACTACAATAAAACACGACGTACTGATAGGGTCAAATAACCGTACACTTTTGAGGAGCTAAGAACGACGTTTTCACATAGATATTTCTTTCAGTGACTGAAAGGCTCAAAATTATAATGGCATAAGATCCCTGCTTCGATTAAAGGTAGCGTTGCTTTCCAGGAATGTGTAAGAAGAATTTTAAACACACACACGCACACAGACACAGACACACACACACACACACACACACACACACACACACACACACACACACACATACACACGCACACACTCATATATATCTATATATCTAATAAAAATGAATCCTGCTTTGAGTTTGTGAAAGGGCCTAGAACGAGAAAAACAACTGTCAAGAATTTTTAGTTTAGTATGGGGTTATACAGCGCTCGCACTGATTCTGGTCAATATTTCAACTTAAAATAGTTAAACGTTAAAAAGGCAAGTGTAAGTAGATTTTAAATTTCATACAACTTTCTAAATAACACTTAATAATTACAAACAATCCATTTTATAACTTTCCATAAGGGCCAATGGCCTCATAAAATCTAAAATTCTGCTGGAAACAACAAAAAATATCTTGCAATTTTTTTTTGCATTTAAAATATTTCCTTCGGGTCTCTCCATTCGGTTAAAAAGTGTCCAATGGTAAAGTCTGTGTCGCAGCTACACAGAACGGCTTCATTATAACATAATCCCCCCCGAGTCCTATGCTTCCAAACGCCCAGACTTTGAATTAACTTTGGCGACCTCAACTACTGAATGCGCGCAGGTTCACGGACCGGTCACGATGATGAGCCCTACAAGCTGACAATCGGACGACGCTTTTCTTTTCTTTTTTCACAAGTGACAGCACAGAGACAAAATTAATATTGATTTATTTTCATGGCGACACAGCGTTTATAGTGCACAACCTGCATGTCACAAATGTTGCATTATAAGACTATCACTGGCCAAGCTCTGGGTGGTAACGAAAGCAGATCTTGATATTCCCGATTGAGACACGGTTTCACACTTTCGCATGCCGCCATAGCTGCTTGTTCACTGACTGGGGAAAGCCAATCTACAGATTTCCTCATATTCCCGGGGCCCCCGGGATTTGGCTAGTCACCGTTTTTACTAGGTACCCAGTTTCTGACTCATTTTTGTCGGCTATTCGTATGTTTTGAAATCTAAGTACCTACTTATTCGGGAAGGGGGGGTTGTTATTGTTGTGTCGGCAGTCATGTTGTTTTGTAGTTTATTTTTAAAAACCGGAAATTTGTCGCACGCCGACGAAATAAAAATTACGGCCACGTCGCCGCCTACGGAAGACTTGCACGGCCAGAGGCCTCCCCGATGAGTTCAAGTAACTGGAGAATTTTCACCCCTGGTTCGAGCACTGTATGGCTATCTACAAATACTGTTTCACTTTACAAAATGGCTTGACATAGTTCAAATCTTACAGGGCAGGTAATTCTCATGATTTCAGGGAATACTTTTTAAGTGGCGAAAATTGTCTAGCTTTTGTATGCACTCCAGTTTTCTCAAAAATATGGTTCTCTCTTGCTAGGCTGTGACTCCTTATTATTGATCATGCCACCTCCATTGACTTACCTGAACTTCATCATCTTTACGAATGGGCATACTTCTCACATTGTACTTTGCTCTCAGCTCTTTTGACAAAGGAGCACTCATGATTTTCCTTCTGATATGAGAGGGGGCATTGAAATGACGAGCCCTGTTCTTCCTTCTGGAACCAGACACTGCCTTGTTAAACTTCATCTTGAAGCCTGGAAAATATACAGTATGAGTCAAATACAAGTGTCAAAAGACATTTTCATGAAAAAGATGACATGTCACATAAAGGCAAGAAATTATCAGTACATGTATTTTTCTTTAACTATCAGAGTAATAGTTTTTGTTGCTCTGACTTTTCACCTCTATCCCCCTATTTATTAGGAGCAGGCACGTCCCGTCGCTGCCCGGCCACTAAATTACTGGCCGATAACAAGAAGAGATAGCTTACTGTTCGTTGACTATACATAAAACGAGAAATGAGAGTGAGAGGTGTTGAGGAAAGAGTGGTACAGCCAGCGAGAGAACTGCTAAAACTACAAGGCAACGGGAACGACTTATCTAGACAACCGGGTGTGTTAATCTTAACAGAATAGCACACACCTTAAAGGCTTGATATCTCCATCTTCATCCACATTTTGCTGCCCTTAGACACTATAGTCAAGGAACAAGCTAGATCTACATGTTCACAGTACTGCTGACGATAAACACCTGAGAGACACTCCCTCTACTCAGTCTCAGTAGTGGATTGTCCCCATGCTGTTCACTTATTAAACCTCCTCTATTGTCACTGAAGGTCAGAATAACGCAGTTGTAGGCCTCCCACCCTGGCTGAGAGGGTAAATCTTCTGGCTATTCTCACCCAGTGTGCGTTCACCGCTTAGTGCATCGGCTCAGGCAGACTGCCAAGACTGAGGACAAGAGTCTCGTTAACGAACTCATTCAAACACAGGAGCCCAAAAATTCGCGAGATTTTCACTAGACATTTTAAAGTCGACTGTCCATAGGATAGTGTTTGATGAGCTGCACTATCGAAAGGTCTCTGCTTGATGAGTCCCAAAAGAGCTGACAGCTGACTGCAAGATGCAACGTGTTGAAGTGTCTCAGACTTTGTTGAATCGTTATTGCCAAGCTGTCACATGAGTCATGAACCAACTGGAGACCAACAATACGATGAAGCATTCCTGACAAGCATTATTACAGGTGACGAGACTTGGATACACCACATGATCCCTGAGACTAAGAGAGATTCAATGGTTTGGAAGCACAGGTCCTCACCTCCCAGAAAAAGTTTAACGAAGTTACCATTTCTCCGAACATTCGGGAAAATAAACTTGAACTCTTTCTCTGAACGGTTTCCGCTCTCAAGATTTTTTGGTTACTTGCCAGATTTAGGCGTCATCTTTCATTCTGCAAGGACTGGGAAGAAGCAATTTTTTGCATTAAATTCAATTTCCAGAGCAAGAGATTTTAAACGTCTGAATATTCAGATACTTCCGTTGTGGTTGGGGCGACATTCCCGGACTATACTTCATTTGAAAATTGAAAATACCTCCAAAAGGTACTGCGAGAAAACAAGACTGACCGATCTGGGCTGTAACTTATTTCACATTTAGTCATCAGGCAAAAAATAAAATCTTTATGTAAAAAAAAAAAAATCACTCCACGCCCCGTTCACATCTTAGGCATACACACACATGGGCCACTCCATTCGCAATTATTATCAACAAATCTCGGGAACGGAAACTGTTCAGAGAAAAAAAGCCGGTCAAGGTTTAAAGTTCAGCCATCTGGACATTCTGAAACCAGGACAAACTGTTAATGCTAACAGATACTGCCCGACTCTTGACAAGCTGTGAGATGTGCCGAAAAAGACTATGCCAGTTGTCCGGCGTGGTCATTTTGCAGCATGGCAACGCAACGCCACACACTGCAAACGCTACGTAAGATTGGACCCAAAGGTTTGGCTGGGAAGTTCTGCTACACCCCTTTAACAGTCCTGACGATTATCACCTTTTTGGACACGCTATATTTCTGAACAGCGACGACAAAGACACTTCAGTCAGTGACACTACTATAGATCTAGATCTACAATTTATGGAGGGAAGATTGAACAATACCGGACCACCTGTATTATTGCGCCTTGCATGAGCCAGATTACTTCCATGTAACACCCCTCTGTCGCACTCGCTTCAATTCGCGAGAGGAGGAAGGCTAGCCTAGCATTGGACGGTCCGACATTCTTCGTTCACATCTTGGGGAGGGGGGAGCGACAAAAACATATGTCAGTCCAAAAATTTTCATTCCGGTTGCAAGAAGAGGGAAGTTGTTTGGGGGGTTTCCCCCCTGACAACGGTCCGAGATTCTTCATTGACAGAGATTAAAATCGATGTCATCTCACGATGCACTTGGCCCACCCTAAACGAAGAATGCCGGACCAGGCGGGGAAGGGAAAGGCGGTGGCTCACGCACTCGGTCTCACGATGTACCACACGCTGTGTTCTTTAAGCCTCGCCCTGCAGGCACGTGATCCGGCATGCTTCGCTGCCGCTGTGGCTCGGAATGCTTCGCTGTGAATGCACGCTCTTTGTTTAGCCTTAGGTGAAGCTTCCCGGAATAGGCTTACCTCTCTATCTACTACTCTGTGTGGTCTAAATGAAGTATCCCGCACCACTGTATGGTTGAGAGAAGGATGCTGTACTACAAGAATTAGTTTTTCTGCTAAATTCCTGTAAAAGTGCTTTTGAAATTGTTTTTCATTTTCAATTTCCCTTCTATAGATCTACATTATAAAAATAGCATTACGGAAAATAAGCCATAAACTGCTTATTTAACTGTGCCGAACTCCTACAATACCTGCTGTTGGGACATAGGCAAAGGAAGTGGCTATCCTCACCCGGTGTGAAACAAGACCTGTTTTTCTTAATTTCGGAATACTTTCTATTGGTGTGGATGATCAAATGGATAAAAGCAAAGAAAAAATTACCTTATAGCACAAAAGTAAACTAATTTGATCGTCTACAAAGATGCTATGGTTATTAACTTATTTCACTTTTCGAATCCGAGCCGAACTACGCGGGTCGCCATTTTGTTTTCCCCGGAAGTTCTCGCAAGATCTACTCCCCCCCTCTTCTCTCTCTCTTTGAACACTGTCTATCGGTGTGAATGATCAAATTGACCAAAACAAAGTTTAAAAATGTTAAAACAAAGTAAATTAATTTGGTCGTCTACAAAGATGCTACGGCTATTTCACTTTTCGAGTCGAGCCGAACTACGCGGGTCCCCATTTTGTTTTGCCCGGAAGTTCTCGCGCTACTCCTCTTCTCTCTCCACTGCCAACAGACAAAATTGTACGCTTTTAGTTTTAGGATAACAGTAGTAATGGAACATTTGTTCACTGCACAGAATTCTACAATTTTTCTGTTATCACAAGAGTAGAATTCTGTGGTTCAGGGTGAACGCAAACCGGGTGAGAATAGCCAAAAGTAGTCCCAATCCGCTGGTCCGGTATTCTTCATCAATCTTACCTTTATGGATAGATCTAGAATCTAGTGTTGTCTATTATATGAGAAATTATATGACTTGGACAAAGAAGGTGACCTTATACTTAACACGTTAAATTCTTCAATAGAGGACTTCAGAAACGAGCGACCACTAGATTCTTGGCGCTTTTTCGGTAGTTCCCACCCCGCAATTTTATTCACGGGTTTGGGCCACAAGAGTAGGGGGGTTTCAGGGGGGCTTGCCCCCCTGACCTAATAAAAATAGGAAGGGGGGTTTCAGGGGCGCATGCCCCCCTGAATTTTACCATAATTTAATGTTTTGCAGTTGTTAGGTTTGATATCTTAGCTCACCGCGAATCAAACGTATAGATCTAGATCTAGATGTAGATCTAGATATCTAGGTCAGGCTCAAATAAGGGGGGTGGGAACTACCGAAAAAGCACCAGATTCTCTAGATTTCTAGATCTAGAATCTAGATAATATATCTAGATAGATCTGGATCTAAATTCTATATCATCAAGATTATACTCAACGGCTTCCAAAATCATGATGGAAGACCGAAAACCACTGTTATACGAACTGTTCATGACAAAATTACGGTAGTTTGCGCATTTTTAAGCCCAGTTCAAAGTCAAAGTTTTGAAGGTCTGAGTCTGGGATTAGATCTAGAATCTAGATCTAGTAGACTTCGGGAATTGGTGATCTTGTAGTTCTGTTCGTTAAAAGTTAAAGTCCACGATCCATTTAGATATATAGATCTAGATCTAGTTTACATCCAGAGAAGAAATCCAGAAGTCTTGATGACCAAATACTATTTGAATTAGGCTACACAAAGAGCGGGGATGCAACCTAACTGCAAAACATCAAATTAGGATAAAATTCAGGGGGGCATGCCCCCCTGAACCCCCCCCCACCTCAGTATTTTTATTAGGTCAGGCCCCCCTACTCTTGACTTTAACGAACGAAACTACAAAATCGCCCGCGAATTTAACGTGCTTAAGTATAAGATCAACGACAAAGAATACTACACTGAAGCCTAGTGGGAGTACTAGATCTAGAACCCTTGTTTCGCCTTCTTAGGCTATAATAGTGCTTACCCGTACCAGTCACCGAGTCGGCAGAGTGGAGGCAGTGGAGGGACTGAATGGTTGCGGTGCACAATCACATCACAATAGTAATCAATTAACAAATGCATAACCCCAGTAGAAGAATGCCCGACACCACGTTACAGCCGCCTCCCCTCTCTCCACTCTTTTAGTTTTCATGGAGTGTGATTTATATGATCACACTAGGCCTACAGCTTTTTCAGTGTCGAAAAATTCTACGGACAAGACAGGCTTGTTTCGAGTTAGAAACCTACTGCTAAGTCTCTCAAATAAAATCATGATTCTACGCTTATCTGAAGCAATATTTCTTAAAATTAGACATATTTGACTTATGATATTACTTATAGTGCCCATCATTTCATTAATAACTTTCGATGCAATCGAAAAATTAGGAATATTTCTCGATTAACAATTACACTTTCATCAAATAGTACCTTTTCACTTCGGCCAAAACATAAAAAGGACTTCCGGAATGGGCAGTAACTCTGAAGCCAAACGTGTCGGTAAAAGCAAAATTGTAATCACACGTCTTCTTTTTCACGACAGCAGCAAAACATTGGAGTAGGCCTACGCGGAAACAAGCCCGTCGTCAACGGCTCAGTAACCTTGCAGAAGTGTCTTTTTGAATGCTCTTTTGTTTCATCAGAAACTTGGTCTTTGCTGCCTCAAATGTACATTACATCACATTTGTCCATCAAAGTCTTTGTTGGAGCACTTACCCTGGCTGCTGTCGGTGTCTTTTTCTCATCCTGGAGGAGTAAGTTCACACTACGTCTACTCAAGACTACTCACTACCGTCCTTATTTAAATTTACGAAAAAACCTTTGCCTTAGAAAAGTTTAGCCAGCAGATTATAAAAAGACTTGAAAAGACTAACAGTTACTTCAAGAATACAGTCAAACCTGTGTAAGACAGCCACCCATTGTCAAGGAGAAAAGTGGCCGTAAAAGACAGGTGCCCGTCTTAGGCAGGACTGATCAACATGAAGAAAACAAACCATCTTATTCTTTCTCAGTGTCACTGCATTCATTGTTGTTGTTGTTGATTATTACTTTCCCTGGGTTTTTTTCTTCTTCTCTTTTTTTTTATTTTGTTGCTTTTGTGCAAGGGTGACAATACATGATAAAACGAAATGTGTCAGATAAGGAGGACCAAGTGCTATGGTAAAACAACAGTGTTTTAGCATCAGAAAGTACTCAAAATATACACATATAAGTACTTTTTAAAAACGCAGTGGCTATTTTTACGGCGAGCCGTAAAGATAGCCTCCCAGTGAGTCCCAGGCTATTTTTACGGCGATCCTCGAAAAGCGACCCTACTCCGCCTCTCATGTACGCGACATGCCTCAATGTATTAGATCTAGGCCTATAGTGGTTGTTCAAAATATAAACTTACACCTCAGAGGGGAAAGGGTGTCTTTGGCTTCTGTAAGAAAAGTGTAAGATTGGGTGGGGAGGTGAGATGAACGTTTTGCTCATGACTGGGAAGAAAAGGTAAAAGAAAAAGTGGATAAATGCCAGTAACAAGACCCAGATCTGCATTATCACTGCAGATCCCCGTTGTTGTTGTTGGGTTGTTGTTTTTTTTGGGGGGGGGGGGTTTACAAATAATTTTGAAATTGTGATGAAAATTCTGTAGGTGGACATCTAATTTCTTAATGTTTCTTTGTAACTTTGCAACTGTTTTGTTGATCTTTTAGTGTCTTGATGTCTTTTATTTGGAAGGCACGTACCTATTGCATTGACAAGAGTCTCAATGTCTTCCACATATAGATCTATATGCGTTCTTTCTAGTTCATATGGTTTGATTAAATTGTATTAACTGAAATGTTCTTTTTACGGCGGTCACAAACTGATGACGTAGAACACGTTTTTCAGTCTTATTAATTCCGTCTTGGCTTGTAGGCCTTCATGTAGACTACTACCTTATTCGTTATTTTATACTATATTTTACTAAATGACTTTACTAATGTAACATACTTTGAGCTGGTTAAAACCGAGAGTAAGGCACTATAATTAAATGTCCTCTATTATTAACTTATTATCATAATTATAGTCTTTATTCTGGACTTAAACAATTCAATGTTTTTATGTTCTTTACTAGGACCTTGTTGTTGTGGGATTCTTTCAAAATAATAAAATAGATCGCATTTTTTTAGTTTTTGTGTTTTGTTTTCTGATGTGCTCATATTATTACTCTCCATTTTTACGGGGAACAGCTCACCCCAAAGGTGATTCTTTTTCCGATTCATATTTAGGAAAAAAATTATACGGGCATAAGAAATAATGAAGAAAGTAAATTTTGATAAGTCGGAAAATATGAAAGTTGCCATGGAATGGAAACAGCACCAACATGCAAAACAAACAATAATTTTAAAAAACCGAAGGCTTCTTACTCTCTAACAAAATTGCATGAAAATTGGTGGAATGGTAGATACAGATACTATGGTCAATTGTACTGAGCAAAATTTTGATATTTGAATGTAAAAAAAATATGTGTTCCTGTACCCTGAAATTGCATCACAATAATTAAAAAATTAATCATTGTGAACACAAAAACATTTTTTTACAACTCTATCAAAAATCTGCTCAGTGCAAATTATAAGGAAGGAGGAACATTTTAAAGGCATTCCCAAGGCGAAAAGTGTTAACTCCAAAATGGCCGCTCTTCTTGTGGGTGTGGTACATGTAGTGATGTCAGTGAATGAGATGATGATGCTGGCAGTGGCAGTGATGATGGTAATGTTAGTGACGAGGAGGTGATGGTGGTGGTGATGATAAAGAGAGGGTGAATGATGATGGTGGGGAGAAGAAGGAAGAGGTGGTGGTGGCGGAAGGGAGAAGGAAGATGAAGAAGAGAATAGAATGACGGTGAAGAGGAGGAAATGGAAAACCTATGGGGCTGTTCAAATATAATCTTACACTTTTGGGGACTTTTTTAAAACACAAAACCCAATACCACTTTTCTCACATTTGCCTCCAACCCCCACCTACACCAATTTAATATTAGTACTTTTTCTGATCTTCAACTTCCATTATTATTTTAAAGATACCTGTACTATACATGGCTTTTTTTAACTAGCTTGTAAAAAAAATATCATTTCAGTTAGTACAATTTAATCAAACCATATGGACTAAAAAGAAACGCATATATGTGGAAGACATTGAGACTGTTGTCAATGCAATAGGTACGTGCCTTACAAATATAAGACATCAAGACATTAAAAGATCAACAAAACAGTTGCAAAGTTACAAAGAAACATTAAGAAATTCGATATCCACCTACAGAATTTTCATCATAATTTCAAAATTATTTGTACCCCCCCCCCCCCTTCCCCTAAAAAAACAACAACAAAAAACAAAACAAAAAACAATGGGGATCTGCAGTGATCATGCAGATCTGGGTCTTGTTACTGGCATTTATCCACTTTTTCTTTTACCTTTTCTTCCCAGTCATGAGCAAAACGTTCATCTCACAGAAGTGTCGTATTTGGTTAACCTCCCCACCCAATCTTACACTTTTCTTACAGAAGCCAAAGACACCCTTTCCCCTCTGAGGTGTAAGTTTATATTTTGAACAACCACTATAGGCCTAGATCTAATACATTGAGGCATGTCGCGTACATGAGAGGCAGAGTAGGGTCGTTTTTCGAAGATCGCCGTAAAAATAGCCTGGGACTCACTGGGAGGCTCTCTTTACGGCACGCCATAAAAATAGCCACTGCGTTTTTAAAAAGAACTTGTACTCAAGTACATTTTACAGGAAAGTACTTTTACTGTACTTAAGTACATTTTTTTAGATTGTACTTAAATTTGTACTTAAGTACCTTTTTAAAAGTAGGCTACTTTACTTTAACGGCTCTGTTTAAATGTTGCAAGTAGCCACTTGCCATTTTCCCCCTGTTGTTTAAAAAAAAAACTTTTAATTAATTATGGCACGTGTAAAATGGCCACCTTTCTCCTCAACAATGGATGGCCGTCATAGACATTTCGACTGTGTATATTTTTGTATAGTCAAACATATTATTGTTTAATTTGAGCATGGATATTGAGCAAGGGTTGATAATGTTGCTTGATCCATCCATGATGTGTAAACCTTGTGATTAAGGAAAATAAGGAGACATACCTAAGAAAATCAAGGGAAGTAACTGTGACAGTAATCTGACAAAACGTGCTCGCTTTATGTCTGGCTGACATTTCATCTATAGCTGACATTTAAACAATTTTATCTCAATTTTTAAAAAAACTCTTTCCAGACCTATCGCAGACGGCGAGAGTCCACACCCCTTGCGGAGGTATCGCCAATATTGGCTACGATAGGGTGCCTCAGTGTTGTGTTTTAACACGATCCATTATTTATTAGTACTTTTTATTGTTATTGAAAACTTGGAAAAGGTTTAGAAACAAAAACATCTAGTTTCACTTTGTCAAAGAGTCGTTCTGGCGAAAAACGAGTGAATTAGTTCTTGTGGTCTTGCATCAACAAAACGATCTAACTGGACTCGGTATAACTCCAACAAAAATTGAAATGCATTTTAATAAAGAGCTGCACATTCAGAAATTAATGGAGTCTGCTCTTGGCCTTTATATGATAAGATAGCTATGCTGATTCGCTTTCACATGTCTAGTGTGTGTAATTTTTTCCGTCAAAATGTATTTTCCGCCCCACCATCGCCATGTCTTACCCTTGTGATGCATACTTAGTTCAAAATTAATTCTTGTTTCATGTTGGAATGTATTCCTTATTCAATTTCCTTCAATTTGACATGTCATATGTTACGTTTTGAGGGCTTTTGTATGAAATTTAAGTTATTTTGTACATCACCTGTGTAGCCGAATCAAGTCACAAGTTAATTACGTTTAGACCCCAAAACAACTATGTCCGAAAAGAGTTAAAAACTGGAAAGTATTGATTTGAGAATACCAAACCCTATGCAAATTTCTTTACTGGGGGACTTGTTTTTTGGTAAGTGCTTTGCGGCACTCGCAACTTCATAAGGTCATATATGAGTGCACGGGACTCATTAAACATTTTCAGTTTGGAAGGAATTGATGTGGAATTTGGCCCGGGTGCGGACCAAAGATTACTCTTATCGGTTTTAGGACCACCAAGGATTCTTTAACGCGGGCAACTTGCACAAGGCACCTCCGAGATTTTTTGTCCTTATCCGAGACAGCTAGGTGTTAGATTTTTTCCTACCATAAGATCAGGGGTGTGACTGAAAGACAGCAGTAAGAAGAAGCCAAAGAGTAGCAGTAGTTAGGCTGCAGAAAGAGTCAGGAGCCCAGAGGAGGGGGAAAAGAGGAAGGGGCAGAAAGTGGAGATGAAAGCGGACAATAGAACATGGTTAGAGAGCAGGAAAGGAGGTGAAAAGATAACATTTTAGAGAAGGACATTTTCCGTCACTGTCAAGTTTTGAACTCATGTCAACCACTGCTAAAATTTGATGCTTGGCTTGTATTGTCGAACAGTTAAGTTTTCTTTTCTCTGCCATCGTGAAAAATACTAGGTATCGATAAAAGGATAGAAGGATAGAGATATTGCATGTGCTTTGTTCAATGTTGACTCAAGAAAAAAGAAGAGAGGGAGACTGATAGTCTTACTTTTATGACCCCCAAAAAATTGCTTTGACGTCAGATCATGAACATGATGATGTTACCAGAACTGGTGAGAGGACACCACCTACCCCTCTTGTGTTATCAAATATCACTTCCCGATACCTACCATCACATTCAAACCACCATTGGGGGCTCTCGTGGCCTAGACATTAAGGTGTTCGCTTCTCATTCAAAGATCCCGGGTTTGAATCCGGGTAGCCACGGAAAAATTTTCATCTCTAAAATTGTCTCCCTTCACCTCCTTTCCTGCTCTCTAGCAGTGTTCTGTCGTCTGCTTTCGTCTCCACTTTCTGCCCTCACCCCCTCACACCCTTTGCCCCCTGCTCTGGGCTCCGCCTTTTACTGCTACTCCTTGGCTCCTTTGTAGTGCTGTCTTTCAGCCATACCCCTGACCTTCTGGTAGGAAAGATCTACACTTAGCCTTCTCGGACAAGGGCAAAAAAATCTTAAAGGTCCCATGTGCAAGTTGCGCACATTAAAGATCCCTTAGTGGTCTAAAATCAATAAGAGTAGGCTTTGGTCGCCACTCGAGAGAAATTCAAAATTTCCTACCAACTGAAAATGTTAATGTGTCCAGCGCACTCATATGGATGCAGTTGTGATTGCCGTAAAACACTTACCGAACCCCCCCCCCCCCCGAACAACCTTACAAACCTGATATAAAATCACACCCCATCACCCAGCACCTACTCTCACTTGACTACATTCAAGGAACTTTTAGCACCTTAAGCACATTACAGATAAAATGTGTGTGCACCTGGAGAAATAAGGTGCCAAAAGCCGCCACAGCCCATTTTGAGCTACAGGCTGATATGATGACAAAAATTCCCTTTTTTTAATCAAAATGTTTGTTTCCATAAAAACCTGATAGTTCCATCATTCTTTAACAATATATTAAAAGGGTTTTCATTTATTTGACTTCTAAATATTTTATATTGAATTATTTTTAGGGTAGAGTATTAAAAAATATATAATGAAAACTGCTTTAAAAAGGTGTTAACCCTTCCAGCCCCAAGCGCGTATATTTTCAGCAGCGCTTGTACCTCCCTCCGTCCCAAGAGCATATATTCTCAGTTTCGGGGGGGTACCGAATTCGCGCATTTTTCGAAATTAGGGAAATTGATTAAACTTTAATTTTCTTATTACTTGTTCATTTATCTTTAAAAATTGGTATATATGCTATTATCAAAGCTACATTACAAAGATACTACATCACTTTTTAGAAATAATGCCTCTTTTTCTGAAATACTACTGTATTGGCTGGGACTGGGGTTAGGGAGTGCACAAAAATGGCTGGGGCTGGAAGGGTTAAAATCTATGCTTGAAGTATGTTTTCTCTTCCCTGCTATGTTTTACCATTGAATTTTAATCATGATATTGAAAATTTTTTTTTTCAAGTTTGATTGTATTCTCAAGTTTGTTAAACTCAAAAGCTCATTTTCTCAAAATTATATATTTTTATACCCTACCTCACAATATGTGCAATATCTAAAACTACTTGAGATATCTCAAAAATTAAAAAAACCACTGTGTTCAGCATTGAATTTCCTATAAGGCACAACCCTTCACTCAAAATGTTCAAAATCCGAGTTTTGGTACCTTTCTTTGGGCACACACACATATGCTATGATGCATCTCAATACCAGCAGAGTGTGTACCATATTATAATATATATCTATATACATATATATATCTATAAAACATATACAGTCGAACTTGCTCCAGCAGCCTTATAGATGGCCATCTTGGACTAATGTGATTTTATAGATACTTTTATAAATGTGTGTGAGTGTATGTGCATGGGTGTGCGTGTATTCATAAAGTATATACATGTTATATATATATTTAATTATGCGAGTATGTCTTCCTTGCTTGTCTTCTTCAGATGAGTCATGCAGAGAAGCTTCCAATCATGCTATGCTGCAGTGTCCTGTCGGTTTTTTCATCCTCCCCAATATGACTTCTTGCCATGCCTGGCTGACTTGTACCGACATATTTGACAGTATCACAGCTACTAATTTATTACTTGGCCAGGGAGCAGTGAAATTGGTAGGCTTAGCATACTTGATTAAAATTGGGTTACAGTTAACTTGGTTAATACATTTTCTTACAGACTTAACTTTTTCACTTGTAGGCTACATGGCAGCCCTGCAACTTTGTTGCATCTTTCACTAACTTTCAATCCTGTCCAAACAAATGTCAATATTTATTGTATATATATATTATATTATAGTAGAGGGTTTTACGGCGCTCGCAACTGCATAAGGTCATATGAGCGCCAAGGGGTGGGTGTCAACAGAGAAGTCTTTACAGGGAATCAGACTTACTCTGCTCGCCTCTCTAGCTTTAACAGCTCAAGGTCTGCTTCAACTATCAAGGCACCCCGGAAATAGCAGGTCACAAGAGAGTGACAAACATACAAAAGAAGTAGAGGAAAATGACAATAGTAAGGATTTAGGAAAGAAAAAGCAGCAGTTCCCTGTTGTAGATCAGGCACAGTTATGAGCGTGACATGATGAATCGGCCCATTTACAATTCTACTGTGCTTAAACGAGAAATGTCCCCCCTTTGAGAATGGCCTAAAGACACTACAGTCGGTTGCACTGCCCCGAGGGGAATATTTACTGTAGCCTACTTCCTACTATAACCAACTCCATCCGCTAGACATCAACTTTTTTTTGGCTGTCTGCTTTGTTCCCCCTCGTGGGTGTTGCATTCTTCTGATCTTGAAATTTTAAAATTTTGTAAAAAAAATTTAAATTTTTTTTAATTTTTATGGTAAGTGTTTTACAGCGCTCGCAACTGCATAAAGGTCAAATGAGCGTGCAGGATATACCTAACATTTTCAGTTGGTAGGAAATATTGAATTTTGCCCAGGTTTCGGCCGAAGCCTGCTTTTATCAATTTTAGACCACCAAGGGATCTTTAACCTGCGCAACTTGCTCACAGGCCCTCCGAGATTTTTCAGCCTTGTCCGAGAAGGCTAGGTGTAGATCTTTCCTACCAGAAGATCAGGGGTGTGGCTGAAAGACAACAGGAAGAAGGAGCCAAAGAGTAGCAGTAGAAAGGCTGCAGAAAGAGTCAGGGGCCCAGAGAAGGGGGCAAAGGAGGTGAGGGGGTGGGGGCAGAAAGATGAGACGTGTTAGAGAGCAGGAAAGGAGACAATTTTGGAGAAGAAATTCTTTCCATCACAACCCGAATTCGTACCCGGGACCTTTGAATGAGAGGCCATGAGAGCCCCCGATCTTGATCTCTATGCCCATATTGATCTTATGTTGCTGCTTCTGTTTCATAATGTGATATAATTTTCATAGTCATGCTGTTGTTATGTTGTTGAATTCTAATGTCCTACTTGGCATAATAATGAAGATCCCATCCAAAGCAAATCTGGGGATTCATTTTTCTAAAACTTGGGTTAAGAGGTAGATTATTTAGAGCAATACAGAAAAAAATGGGATCACTTTCATGTTCAAATCTCAAACTCATTCTGGTTTGCCATGTCACTGTAGTCTGATGCATACATATCAATTCTTGTGCATTTAGAAAAGATAGGTAGTAAGTTGTTGTGACAACATTGTCAGAGCTTGGACATCATTTTGAGTGTTTATATGTTTAATTTCAGAAAATGTTAGGAGACTGTGTATTCCCCTAGCGCTTATTACTCGGGGATTGTACAGTCTCCTAGCGCTGCTTAGATCTACTCGGGGACTGTGCTGTCCCCTAGCGTTCCGCAATGGGGGGACTGCAAAGACAGTTTGAGATGTTTTTCGTAATAAATCTTGAACTCTCATTCTCTTAGCACATTGGGACATTGCACCCTAAGCCCAGCATTATGACTCATTATTGACTTTTTTCTCACTGTTATTATTTTATGACAAAATGCTTTGAACAGGAAAAATGCTGATTCCTATCAAGATGTCGCCGTTTTTATATTTAAGTCTATAAAAATATTATTTCTCAATCTTTTTCAATTCTGTTTTCAACTTTTTTATTTGAAGAGTCCAGGATTCTACTTTAAGGTACCCTTGATTATATTTACTGATACTGATACACGTGATGTACATAGGTCAAAATTCTCAATTTTCAAATCTTCAGTGTTCAGTTTAAAACACTTTACATTGGATAGACTAATATTACTGACCAGTTAAAAGAGCTAGCCATCTCCTGTTATACATATAATTCTCTGATCGGCAGCTACAACAAAACCACCTACATAGGCCTAGCACAAACTTGCCAACCCAGACAGCTACTTTTATTAATTTTCCCATATTTTTACCACAAATCCAAGCCATTTTTTTCATATTTCCAGAAAAAAAATCATATTTTTTAAAGTTTCTGCTGCTGCTGCTGTAGCATAGAACCAGATAGATGTACTACTAGGCCTATGGGAGGTAAATGTTGATGATTGCTTGTTGACCTCGACCCAAAGGTCAAAGGTAATTGTTACTTTGCTGTCCCCCAGTGTGGAATGCTAGGGGACTGCATTGTCCCTGAGTAAGCAGCGGTAGGGGACTGTACAGTCCCCCAGTGGGTAGCGCTTACAGTCCCCTAACAACTTCCATTATTATTTTAAAAAAATACTTTTCCTCCATATGGTGTTTGCTTTGTACTTGATAGATTATTCAAGCATCTGCTCCCAAGTCTTTCACCCAGTCATGAGCCTGACTCAAAGTCCATAAGAAATTACAGTACCTGTATTAGTAGGTCTTACAACTGTTATAACTCAAACTTCATGAGATCAGAGAATTATGTTAAACAGATTTTGTGTTAATCCTAATGAAAAAAGCCTCCCAATAATGGGATGGGGATTCCTTTCTGCCAAACTTTGGAAACTGAAAAATATTTCCATCCTCAGCTTGATACTTTGATTGGACATAAGCTAGCAACAGATGGCAGCTTCCTAGTGTCTTGTCACCCTGTCCTGCAAAACAAAACCACTCTCTAACCACCCATTAAGCACAACAAGTGGGAAAGAACTGAATCGTTTGAGCTTGTGTTGTGTGATGTGTATTGACATTGACAATGTTAGGCTACTGTAAAAGAAAAAGAAAGGAACTGGGTTAAGTAAGCAGATAGGAATGATAAAATTAAAATGGCCCAATTCTCAGTTTTAATTAGATCTGCTGGAATTTTTCATTGCAATATAAAGAAACAGAAAGTTGCAATGGTAATAATAGATAAATAGAGAGCATTTGTATAGCGCACATCCCGGCTCAACAGCAAGCTGTGTGGGCTTCACAATCTATACTATTACCCCAGCAGACCTGAGAGCATTCAGAAACAACCTCAACTTCCTGGGAAGCATACAGTGCAAGCTAAAACACTAACCAATTGACGTCTTTTGCTGTCTATGGCCGGGTACCCATTCCCACCTGGGTGAAGTGAGGAAAATATGTGTAAAGCGCCTTTCCCAAGGACATGTCTGGCCCGCGGCTCGAACCCCTGAACTCGAAAACTCACGATTATGAGTCAAGTAGCCTAACCACTAGTAAAGAGCAAAGAGGAGGGAAAATGAATTTGAAATCCTTTCATGCTAAAAGATAATTTGTTTTAAACAGCTTCATGTTAAACAAAGTCTGCTTTATATTTCTATTCAACAGGTTTATCTTGGCAAGTGGCGAGACAAAGAGGTTGCCCTGAGCTACCTTATGGATGACTCAATGTTTGAAGACTTTCAACATAATGTACAAATGTTACGGCAGTTGACTCCACGACCCTCTGCTTCCCACAAGTGGTTGGTGCAGTTAGTTGGCTGGTGTTTTCAGCAAGACCCACCTGTTCTCATCACTGAATTCCATCCTATGGGCACAGCAGATAATGTTCATAAGATGTTACATGAACAGTTTACGGACAATAACACACTGTCAGTGAGGTTTAAATTGTGCCTGGATTTCGTGCGTACGCTTGAGATTCTTCACAACCAGAATACTGGATCCAGAGTTCTGTGTGACTCTAACGATCCACAGAAAGCCTTAAGCCAGTTTCTTCTCTCAACCAATTTCAGGTTGACTCTCAATGATGTTGATGCGCTCCCTTTGGTAAAAAAGACATTGGGTCAGCTTGTGAAGTGTGGCCACCGAGAACTGACTGGAGACTATATTGCCCCAGAACAGTTGTGGCCCTTTGAAGATATACCGTATGACGATACAGCAATGCCCGGTTATGATGAAAAAATTGATATATGGAAGATTCCAGATGTGTGTAATAAACTCATTCAGGGTTGCAATGGTGCTGCAAGTTTGAAACTACATTTATTTGATGTTCATTCAAAATGCAAATCATTATCTCCAAGTGAAAGACCAACTGCTAAAGAAGTGTTAGAAAGCTATTTGACAGTGATGAAAAAGTTAAATTTAGGCAATAAATGCTAATGTTTGAAGCTGTGGTTATTTACAAATTCTTTTCGTGTGCAAGGAATTTGTGGGGGGTGGGGGGGAGTTTTGCTGGTTTAGTAACATTTCCAGAGTTACTTTCTGTACCACTTCATGGATGTCTTTGGCAACTGAGTTTTGTTTTGGTCTTGTTTGCATGTGTTTGTGTGAGCTTTTGTGATGTCTGTATTGGTGTCTGTTGTGTTTGTGATTGACATACATGTAATATACACACACTGTACACACATACACACATTCACTCATGCACACAAATACTGTCACAAACACACACACACACACACACACACACTTACACACACACACACACACACACACACACACACACACACACATCTGAAACCGAGGCTGAAAAGTTCTGATTTATGGCATGTGTATAATGTCTTCCCATGTCAAGCATTATCAGACTTTTTTGAAGATCTATTTGCATCATTATGTGCATGTGTTTGTTTTCATGGGAACAGTATAACACATCTAGGACAGTAGGCTACTTACAATTAGGTGAAAAAACATCTACTGAATAGCTGTACAGGATATTCAACAATGAAATTGCAATTACAGTAGTCTCCGTCGAATACCCCACCACTTATGATCCTGGTTTGCTTAAGATCCCGCTCTTACGCAAATAGATTTTGTACTACACAAAAGTCTCCCCTAAGATCCCGCTCTGAAGGTCTACATTCAGCTAAGATCCCGATTTTCAGATAATAATTTATGAAACAAAAACCCGTGCGGGCACAACAGATCAACCAAGATTGAAAATTTGCTTTCGTTGAACTGCCATTTACCTCACTGATCAGCCTCTCTCGTGAATGTGACCAAATGTTTGCTTTCTGTAAATCTGGATGAAACGGTGCAATGTTTGCCCCAGAAGGGATCACACCGACGTGTAACTTTCTGACGTGTTCGTTTTCCCACATCCCACTCCCATCTGAGCTCTCCACCACACGCTTGGTGGGTACGGAGGGCCTACATGTTCGCTCCAGGCGGGATCACATCGAACTGTGATCTCTTCCCTGACCATTGCAGCAGTTGTCTCTCGAATTTGCAAGACAGACTGAATTTTAATTAGTGTGGTTCCAACACAATTGTACGTACATGTAATACCAAAAGCAGTCTGAGATGGGAAGCTATACATTTTGGACAGGTAATGGAGAGGAGCAACTGGATAAGCGTAGATCTAGATCTTGAAACTCAAGATAGAATAAGGGAAAATGGCATGCTTCCTGCCCAGGTGATTGGTCATCAAGTCATCAAGGTTGAAACCTCACTGTTTGCTCGCCATTAGTCATAAACCCACCCAGGGGTCACGTCAGTTCATTTTCGAGTGAAGGGAGACCATTTTACCGGTTGTGGGTCAATTCTTCCCTTGGTGCGTCAGCTAACTTCGGGCCTACCATGCCTCTCAATTCTCCGATGCGGGGATGGAGAGGTCACAATGCTATGATGATGGATGAGGCGAATGTGTGACGTGCGCCTGCAGACGGAAAGCACCACAGGGTGTGGTAGGGTGGGGAACAACACAAAGGGCGAGTTAGCCAAGAGCCCAAGGAGATTAAAAGTTCTGAACTCCTTGCCAGAGCCCTTTCTACTTTATGTCTGATCGCCAACGCTGAGCTGTCAACATAGCTAGTGCTGGAGAAAAAAAGCTGATTCGATTTTTGATCATCAAGTAAGACCTAGAGGTCATGTTGAACTTTGAACAAAATCATCGTCGGGGGAGATAACAAAACGAAATAAACAGAACACCAAGCTCATAGCCTAGGCCTATTTTATTTTTTCATTTGAATTTATTACTGGATCCCTTATAACGAGAATCCTGCCATAGCGTACATTTCGCACGAGTCCCCTCTCTCTCGTAGATCTAACAACAGGATTCCACTGTAATTATGCATATTATGTGTGTATCAGCTAACTACGTTGTTAAGTCCTGTGTTCATTTTGGGTGAAATTTTCCATGCTGGTGCAATATAGATGTATCTCCTAGACAATGAATGACAGTTTTTTGACTATATTCCCTTTTTTTTCTTAGTCTCAGTGCTTTTGAATATATCTTGTAGCCAGAGTTGGGTAACTTCGTCACTCTGGGAAATGTGGCAGTGTCATGTAAAAATGTAAAATTGAAATAACCTGTCCAACCTATTTTAGGACTAGTTTAAGTGTCGGCCAACTTACAACCAAACGTCTTGTCTATCAAAATGATCAACCAATCAGAGTAACTAACGCTTATACTCTTTAATGTAACAACCAAGGTGTTTATGGCGTCGTATCATTCATGCACCAACTTTTTATGCCAAGGCAAATATCTCTACCTCTACCTCAAACTCGAAGAAAGAAATTGGTGGAGTACTACTTCTTCTTCTTGTCCCTAACAACATGGCACTGAGACCTGGATTTTATTAACAAAGAAAGAAAAAGACAAAATATCCACATTTCTCCTCTTCCTGCTCCTCCTCCTCCTTCTTCTTCTTCTTTTTCTCTCTCTCTCTCTCTCTCTCTCTCTCTCTCTCTCTCTCTCTCTCTCTCTCTCTCTCTCTCTCTCACACACACACACACACACACACACACACACACACACACACACACACTCACTCACTCACTCACACACACACACACACACACACACACACACACACACACACACGCAGTGAACAAATTCAATGCCATTATATAATAAATACTGCAGCACATAATTTCTAGAGGGTGTTTCTAAAATAGTCACGCGCCTCGGTAAACATCCTAGATGTATGATAAATGATGTTGACACTGAGTTTGTGGCGCTCCTTATCAGTCCGGGATAGGACAACCAGGATAGAACCCACCGGGCCTGCACAATACAACACAATGACCTGGACGAAGGCCGGTGGAGCAAGGCGTCAGAGAGCTGGACAAAAGGGAACGGACTTCAGAAGACGAATCACGCGCTTTGGTGTTTACTCGGTATCCTACACTTGCGCTAAGTTTAGCTCACATTGAATTTGTCATTAACACCCTTCTTTAGTTGCCGTCGTCGTCGTCTCTCTCCCCCCCCCCGCCCCCCTCTCTCTCTCTCTCTCTCTCTCTCTCTCTCTCTCCCCCTCTCACACACACACACTCTGTGTGTTGTGTGTGTGTGTGTGTGTCGTGGGCTAGTAAAATCTATCTATCTATCTATATCTGACTACAATGTGATCTACCTTCTATCTCTATATTATCTATCTTTTTTTTTGGGTAAGTGTTTTACGGTGTTCGCAACTGCTTAAGGCTTAAACTTAAGGTCATATGAGCGCGCAGGACACACCAAAACATTTTCAGTTAGTAGGAAGTTTTGAATTTTGCCCGGATGGCGGCCGAAGCCTACTCTTAAATCGATTTTGGACCACCAAGGATCTTTAACGGGCGCAACTTGCACACACGACCTCCCAGGTTTTTCGCCCTTGTCCGAAAGGCTAGGTGTAGATCTTTCCTACTAGAAGATCAAGGGTGTGACTGAAAGACAGCAGTAAGAGAGAGCCTTGGAGTAGCATTAAAATGGCTGCAGAAAGAATCAGGAGCCAAAAAAGTGGGGAATTTAGGGGGGGGGGGGGGGGGCAAACGACTGGACATTGCCTGAGAGTAGGAAAGAAGACAATTCAGGGAGATGAAAAATCTCCGTCGCTATCTGGATTCGATCAGGGGACCTATTGAAAATGACAGGCGAACATCATAATCTTTATTTATCTGTTAGTGTGATATACAGATAGAGGGGACTCTCGTGGTCTAGAGTTTAGAGGTTAAGGTGTTCGCCTCTCATTCGACTGATCCCGGGTTCGAAACATGGCAGCGACGGAAATTTTGTTCACTAAAATGTTCTCATTTCACTTCCTTCCCTGCTCTCTAACCATGTTCTGTCGTTTGCTTTCGTCTCCACTTTCTGAACCCCCCCCCATACCCTTCACCCTTTGCCACCTCCTCTGTGCTTCAGACTGTTTCTGCAGCCTTTCTACTGCTAGGCTACTCCTTGGATCCTTCTTACTGCTGTCTTTCAGCCACACCCCTGACCTTAGGGTAGGCAAGACAGTAAAATTTAACACCTGACCTTCTCAGATAAGGGTGAAAAGGCTCGCGGACCCCGTGTGCAAGTTGCGAAAGTTAGAGATCCCTTGGTGGTCCAAAATCGAGAGTAGGCTTTGATCGCTACTCGGGTAAAGTTCAAAATTAATTCCTACCAAACTGAAAGTGTTTAATGTGTCCCACTCGTCAATTGTCATATATGACCTTGTGCAGTTGCGAGCGCCGTAAAACACATTCCAATGCAAAATCAAATTCACAAACTGTGCATGTCTGGGCCTCTACTGCAGCTGTTGATTTTGTCTCGTTTCTTTCTCTACTCTTACTCTTGCCCAGTTCAGGTAGACCTCTTCTCTCAAGACGTCATGGTTCGACGAGCGTCCCAAATTAGGCTCTACTATTGTTCCAGAACACGAAGTCGCGGCTACAGCCCTTTATCTTCATCAACCTTCTCTTGAATGGTAACAATTTAATGACAGTATGATGTCCCTCGGCGAAGGGCTTACAATACATTTTTAACCTTAGATCTATGCTTTTTTAAATTTCATGTATTATTTTTGTTTGTTTTTTTAAGGACTTTACTCGTACACATAGATCTATCTTTCTTCTCGAAAAGCATCCCTCCATTTAGAAAGTCATTGATATATTTTGTCGACTGTATTCGCTGCATCTATATATTGATGAGCGACCCTGATTAGAGCCCTCCGAAAATAATTAGAAAGATTCAGATTTTTTTGGTATGTTGTTGTTTCTTTGTGGATGCAGTTCACATCATGTATTCCTAACCTTTGTTTTTTTCACACACAGCAGACGAACCCTCTACAAATTACGTTACAAAGGCTATAAATAAGACAGTTTGATTAACAGAAAGTACATATGCCCTTCGACAAATGTGCGAAAGGGCAATAGAACACAACAGAGTACTAAACATAGTATTTGTCGACCAGGAGAAAGTGTTCGA